CAGCATCAGCGGAGCAGGAAAGCTGACGTTTCGAGTCGGGACCCTTCTTCAGAAAAATCCTGCTCCTCTGATGCTGCCTGGCCTGCTGTGTTCCTCCAGCTCCACACTGTGTTATCTCTGACTCGAGCAGCGGCAGTTCTTACTATCTCTACACTTTCTAGGTGAAGCTTTCGGAGAATTTTGGGAATAATCTCTAGATGAAAGCTTGTCTCCTGGATTGTTTCAAAAGTATTCACAGAAAAATAGAAAATTGGAGCAGCAGTAGGCCTTTCAGCCATTCAAGCCTTTCAGTTGGAATCATGGCTGATCATTCCAACTCAGTATCCTGCTCCTGTTTTCTTCCCATTCCCTTTAATTCTATTATTCCTAAGGCCTATGTCTAACTCCTTCTTGAAAACCACCTTCTGCAAACCTCCAGCAGCAAATAAATAATAAAATAATAATAATAATAATTAATTATAAAAATAAATAATAAACTTTGAAGCAATCTTCAAAATGCTCAGCACCAACTTGCTGCTCCTATTTAGCTATCTGCTCCTAGGAGAGGCCGATGGTGTGAGTGCCAGCTATCAAATGCCATGTGAGCTCTTCAATGAGTAATGGCAGATAATTTAATTGATAAGTACTCTGTTAATGATCCTCAGGATTTTTGCTTCATCTCCTTTACCAAGATGGTGTCCTGAGATGGCTTTCCAGTTTCCATGGCTCAAGTTCCCATCTTGGCCAGCTTCTTTATTGTCTAAAATATCAAGACAAGATCACCCCCTAATCTCAAATGAACATGATCCTCTTAGCCAGAGACTCATCAGGATTTACAAATCACTCCATGGTTTTTTTTCGTTTGTAGGATTTATGAACGAGTTATTGAAAGGCCCAGTATGGATATTCCAATTGGCTCAACATTTTGGTTAGGACAAAGGAACAATGTTCATGGCCTTTTCAAGGTGAGTGATTGTCATAATGTTACAGTTCCTTTATTCTTCCATAGAACACACTTTCATTAATGTATGATAACCTATTATTTGAAAATGTACATCCCCACTCTGAATTATATTTGTGTTCAACACATTGAACTTCGAATGCTGGACATGGCCCAGATATGGTAGCCATTACAGACACATGGTTGTAGGAGACATGGGTGGGACTTGCTTCATGAAGAGTCATCCATTGAAGTGTCATCAATGACACCTTGAAGAGTTGTCAAGACACATAGTAAACACAGTAAGCTAAGAAAAGGTATAAAGGTGGCTCTGTTAGATAATGATAGAAAATATAGAAGGATGACCCAAGTTCGGGAAGTCAGGAGATGGAAGTAGTTTTGATAGAGATGACAACTGATTAAGGCAACATGTCACTTGTGGAAGTTGGAGTACTTAACAGTAACCTTCCAATAAAGGAAGAAATAATGAAAGCTTGCCAGAAGGGCATGGCAATAATCACGGGATATTTTAGTCCACCTATCAATTGGAAAAGTCTGATGGGCAAACATATGTTAGATGAGGAGTTCATAGAATGTTCTGGGGATGGTTTCTTGGCACAGCATATTGTGGAGCTGAATAGATGGTAGACTATACTAGACTTGATATTGTGCAAGAAAGTAGGATTAATCAATTAATTATTGCAATTTGAAGGCACCCTTGGGTAGCAGTGACCATAATATGATTGAATTTTGCATTCACCTTGAGGGAGAGAGGACTGGGATCTAAGACTATTTCCTTAAAATTAAGTAAGGGTAATTATGGGCATGAGATTAGAACTTCTAAAGTGATTTGGCAAGTTAGGTCAAAGGATCAGTTAATAGAAATGTAGTGGCAGGCATTTGGGAGGATATTTCAGAATGCACAAAATTAATACATTCCAACCATTGATGATTAACTGGAATATTAAACATATCAAATATCAAACTTAAAGAAAAAAAATGTAATTGTGCAAAGACTGGTGACAAGTCAGAAAATTGATCAGAATATACAAAATAGAAAATAATGAAAAAATAAGAGGAAAATTAGAGTACAAGAGAAACTAACCTGAATTATAAAAATGGATAGTAAGAGTTTCTATAAATATTTAAAATAAAAGAGTTAAAAAGTGAACAATGGTCTTGCAGAAAGTGAGCCTGGAGAATTAATAATGGAAAATACAATGGTGGAAGATGAATTAAGCTGGTAAGTGAGCAGGTAAAGCTGTGGAAAATTGAGTATAATGTGGGAAAATGTGACATTGTACTTTTTGGCAGGAAGAGTGAAAAGTAAGCATATTATATAAATAGCAATGCATTGTAGAGCACTGCAAATCAGAAGGATTTGAGTGTCCTCATGCATGAATCACAGATGTTTAGTATGATGGTCCAGCAAATAATTAGCAAGGCCAAAGAACATCATCATTTATTGTGAGGGGAATTGAGTACAAAGGTGAGGAGGTTATGTTCCAGGGATCATAAGAACTGTAGATGCTGGAGTCAGAGATAACACAGTGTGGAGCTGGAGGAACACAGCAGGCCAGGCAGCATCAGAGGAGCAGGAACGTTGATATTTCGGGTCGGGACCCTTCTTCAGATTTTCGGTGTTCCTCCACCTTCAGATGAGGTTATGTTTCACTTGTATGGGGCAAAGGTGAGACCACATCCAGAGTATTGTGCTCAGTATTGGTCACCTTATTCGAGGTGAAAGGATGTAAATGCATTGTAAGTAGTTTAGACGAATGTTTACCAGCATAAAATTTGGAATGAGTGGATTGTCTTATGAGGAAAAGTTCAACAGGCTAGTCTTGTATCTGCTGGAGTTTAGAGTGTAAGATGTGATTTATTTTGAACATATAAGATTCTGTGAGGGCTTGGCAGGTTGGATATGTAGAGGATATTTCATCTTATGGGAGAGGCTATTTAAAAATCAGGGGTCACCCACTTCAAACAGAGACGAGGTGAATGTTTTTCCCACAGAGGGTCTTAAGTCTTTGGAACTCACATCTATAGTGATTGTAATGTGATCAGCCAGGTGAACCTCATAGAATATGAGTTCCCTGATTGGGGACGTCAAGCTGGTCCAATCAGGGAGTGCTAGCTGACAGTTATAAACAGGGAAGTCAGAGGATCTGTTCACACTGACAGCTGGCTCTGAGGAAGTTGGATCAGTGTCAAGTACTAAGCATGGGTAACTAAAGGTGAGTTGTTGATGGGATACTGGCCTCTACAGAGTTATTCCAATATTCTAGAAAGAAGGTGGTATCAGACTCTTTGAAATGGGGTAAATAGATTCTTCTTAAGCAAGGGAGTGGAAAGTTATCAGAAGAAGGTGAAAATGCAAATTTGAGTTTGCAGTCAGGTCAGCCATGATCTTATTGATTGCTGGAACAGGCTCAAGGGCTGAATAACATATTCATGCTCTTTGTTTGTACACTTATATCAAATCAGGCCTCAACTCTAGCTTTACGCTTCAAATTTACTATTATTGCAAAGCTCAAGCCACTTTATGTTGACATTTAAGGCAAAGTATAAACGCACCCTTAGGCTAACCTGATACTAACTGTTTGGAATATAGCCTGAAGGTGCTAAATCTTTGCTCAGATTAGGTCAGATGTGTGTTTTGCACTGATGGGAGCTGACTGAATGTCTTCATAACAAAGAAATAGGAACTTAGTAAAATTTATTAGTCATCATTGATCTGGGCACTTGAATTAAAAGAGTTTTACCAATCTTACATGTCAACATAATTACATCGTATTTTTGTTAACATAGCAAAACCCGAGTGCTAGGAGAATATTTGTAATTATATTTATTTGGCTTCACTTCTACAATTCTGCAAACTATTGCCAAAGTTCATTTTAAAAAAAATCATGTTGAGCACAGAAAAGGGTGAACTGGATTCCTTGTCAGTGAATGGATGCCTTTGAGAAACGCTTGGACAAGGAAGGGCAACGTGATTGAACTGTTTATGAGAGCATTTGGGAAATTGCCCGGCCAACCTGTTCAAATGTAGGAGCAACTTCAGTTCAGGCTTTCTGATCTGAAGTAAGTATTAGGGAAAGCAAGTGGAATGTTGGCTTTTATTTCAAAGGGAATGGAGTATATAAATAGGGTAGTTTACTAAAAATATGCAAAACACTAGTGAGGCCACAGCTGGAAAACTGAATGTTTTTGGGTCCCTCATCTAAGGAAAGACATATTGGCATTAGAGGTAATCCAAAGAAGGTACACTAGGCTGATATGGAGGGGTTGTCTTATGAGGAGAGGTTAGGGAGGTTGGGCCTGTACTCATCGGAATGTAGAAGAATGAAGGGTGACTTAATGAAACGTATAAGATTCTTAGGAGACTTGACAGCATAAAAATTGTTTCCCCTTGTGGGAAAGTCTAGTACCAGGGGTCGTTATCTCAGAGTAAAGGGTTGCTCGCTTAAGATAGGAAACGAGGAGTAACTTATTTTCTTTCTGAGGGTAGTGAATCTACGAAATTCTTTACCACAGAGTGCTTTCAAGGCTCAATCGTTAAGTATGTTCAAGGCTGAGATAAACAGAATTCTAATCAGTAAGGGAATCAAGAAGTAAAAGGAAGTGGCAGAAAGGGGGGAGTTGAGAATCATCAGATCAACTATAATCTCATTAAATAGTGCAGCAGACTTAATGGGCTGAACAGTCTATTTCTGCACTAACATCTTGTGTGTCTTAAGTGATCCAATAGTTAGATTAACTCCAGAATCGAGTCCCATCTTACACCAGGATGCTGTATGATAAGACTCACCACCATGATTGATAATGCAAAGCATATTCTAGAATGGGTCAACCTGAATCAGTGGATTTATGAGGAATTTATTAAGTTGAAGAAAAACTTATTTAAATGTTTTGAAATAACCAAACTCAAACCTGCGCTCTCAAAAACTTCAAAACTCCTAGACAGGAGCAAAATTTTGCGAATATGTGTGAGCAGCCTTAGAGAATTTTCATTCAGTTCATGTGGGTCACCATCTGCCTCAGTATTCCTGTCTTACAATACTGCTGATATAACAAGGTGTAGAGCTGGATGAACACTGCAGGCCAAGCAGCATCAGAGGAGCAGGAAAGCTGACGTTTCGGGTCTGGACCCTTACTGCTGCCTTGTATCCAATACAAGGGCAAAGTCCATTGGCTGTCTCCACCCAATGAGATCCTATAGTGGCTTGGCATCTCAGCAATTTTTAGCTTCAGTGTAATCTCTGGGAGATAAGTGTTGACTACTGTAGCCTCCTGGTCAGGACAATGAGACACCATCCCAAACTCACACTGAACCAGGCAGTGAGCGCATTTTGGATGGAGAAGGTGATCTAGGGAGGGAGTCTGTGATGGTGGGGAATCAGAAATATACTGCGATTTTACTAAGTCCAGAAAGTCTGAGCATGTTTCTCCTGTTGAGAAAACAAAACTGAGAATAGCTTGGTCCTTTTTTTTTCAAAACACGGTCCAATTGTTTTATTAAGAACATCCAGTCAAGCTCATGGGTTGTGGGTATCGTTGGCTGGGCCAACATTTATTGCTTGTCCCTAGTTGCCCTTGAGAAGATGGTGGTGAGCTGAACAACTGCAGTCCATGTGCTGTAGGTTGACCCACAATGCCCTAAGGGAGAGAGTTGAAGCATATTGACTTTATCACCCTTGACCTCTTGACCTCTCCCATTCACACCCATGAGCACCTAAACTTTGCATTTGGAGTGTGAGTGTCAACAAAAACCCAGCTTTCATATCTGAAGAGCCTAACCACTGTTTCACTTGGATGTCTTGGAGAATTAAAAGCTGACTCAGCTGTGATATAGCATTAGCTTAGTTAGCTTGATAGCTGGTTTGTTATGCAGAGTGATATCAATGGTCTTATGTATACTGCCTGCAGTCACAATGAAGGATTCTCCTTTCCAATCTCTCCCGTTGCTTGACCTTCAGGTTAAACTCACCACCAGTCATTTACCTCTCAGGAGACAGTGAGACTATGATGACCTCATCTCTTACATTGTCAGTGTTAGAAATGCTGGTCCCAAAATGATCGAACAGCACAGCTACAGTGTTAATTGAAATTAGATGATGTTCAATGGACTTTGTACTTAAGAGCTGGATTTTCCCATATTGAGGGCATAGCTTCAGGACAGGGATAGGGTCCAGAAGGGAAAGGTGGAAACTGTTGTTTGTGCTAAACAATGGATTTATAACAAAACGCTTGCAAATCTCTGAAAGTATTTGCTGCCTAATTCCATATTGGTCTGTAAAATATCCATTGCACTTATGGGACTGTTCAGGTGCCAGAAAGAGTACAGTGCAAAATGCAGTGCTCCTGTAGTGATGTTATGCCAGAAAGATGGGCAGCCATTAGTTGAATTCTCCCCCGCGAAGAACCTGTCTAATTCATACTGTATTGACACCTATTCATTGCACAATCTTCAGCTTTGGGTTTACCATGAGTTGGTCATTTCAAGTGATTTAAATAATGCTGCTGGGGATTTTTAAATTTTTCATTTAATGTAAAGGTTGTATATGTTTGAACAAGGGAGCTGGGAGCAGCAATCTTAAAACAGCTTTCTCACCGAAGTATGTAATAAGGTAGAGGATTATATGAGAACACTTTAAGTTTATAATTGATCCTGAATTATTCCTTCTACAGGGCGTGATGCAGGATGTGCAGATTCTCCTGATCCCACAGGGATATATTACTCAATGCCCTGACCTCAATCGCAGTATGTTTCCTGATTATATTAACTAAAATGTGAAATGTAAAATAAAATGTGAACATGCATCGATGAAAGGCTTATCAGACTTTAAGGCCATCCATGTGTCAATCCTGGACAATCTTTTGCTTAACTATTAGCGTGGCTTATAAAAGAAGAGATGCTAAATGATTCGAAAAGCTATTTAGCAGTAATGTTCACTTTAGTGTGTTAGGATAAATACTACATCTCATAAATCCTGTTTATTTGTGGTTGGAAGGATTCAGTAATATCAAATGTTATCTTAAAAATGCAGGTACATTATGAATCAGAACATGCTGAATGAACATGATATCTGAAATAGTGCTGGAAACACTCTGCAGCATCTGGGGAGAAAGAAACAAAGCAGGCAATAGTTCACAGAAGCCTTACGGTGTGGATGCAGGCCATTCGATCCATCGAGTCCTCAACACCCCTACAAACAGAGTCCCAACCTAACCCTGTAAACCTGCATTTACCATGGCTAATCCCCCCACCTAGCCTGCACAGTCTGGGTAATTTAGCATGGTCAATCCAACCAACCTGCATATCTTTGGACTGTGGGAGGAAACCAGAGCACCAGGAAGAAACCCGCACAGACATGGAGGGAATGTACAAACTGCACACAGACAGTTGCCCAAGGGTGGCATCAAACCCAGGTCCCTGGTGCTGAGAAGTAGCAGCGGTAGCCACTGAGCCACCGTGCCATCCAGTTAAAGGGATGAATATTCACTCTCCCATTCTGTGGACCGTGCTGTTATTTTGTGGCTCGCAGTGTGCCCCTCCCACTCCAACTATGCGAGGAAGCTGCCTACTCAATGGTTGCTGGCACCCTTGTTCTGTGACCTCATCACAGAATGAGTACGATGTAAACAGAGACATATCTGCACTGGGTTTCTAAAGCTTTTCAACTTAGTCCCAATCTCCTGCCTTTTCCCCATAACCCTGTATATTGTTTCTATTTAAATAATGCCCTCTTGAATGCCTCATTTGAACCTGCCTCCACCACATTTCCAGGCAGTGCATTCCAACCCCTAACTACTCGCTGGGGGTAAGAATTTTCTTACCTTGCATTTGCTTTTTTTCTCAAAACACTTGAAATCTGTGCCCTCTGATTCTCAACCCTTTTATGAGCAGAAATTATCTGCTCTGTCCAAACTCCTCATCATTTTGAAAACTTCTATCAAAACTCCTCATAGCCTTCTCCAGGCCTGCCAATCCTAGCTTTAGGATGTACAGGGTAACTCACATCCATAGCCCAATGCTTTGGGATAGGGTTTCCCTCTGTCCATAGTTAATGGCCTGCAGACCCTCTGATTGATGGGATGATGAACACAATTAGGAGATCAGACCTTCAGGAAAATTGTGTTAGTATCAAATTCTTTGGGTCAAAATCCTGGAATTCCCTCCCTAATAGCATTGTGGGTCAACCCACAGCTGGAGGACTGCAGCGGTTCAAGAAGGCAGCTAACCACCACCTTCTCAAGGGCAACTAGGGACGGGCAAGAAATGCTGGCCCAGCCAGCGACGCCCACATCCCACAAAATGAATAGAAAAAAAAAGTGCCAGTTTGGGACCCTTATTTGGTCCTGTTATTGGGGTCATCAACTACTGCAGTAAGATCCAACCCAGTATCTTGAGTCAACCATGTTCCATTGGAACACAAACATGGCTTCTCTCTCCAGAGGTGCTGCCTGACCTGCTGAGTTTCCAGCATCTTGTTTTCTAATTTCAGATTTGCAACATCCACAACATTTTGCTTCTGAGAAAGAAAGGCAGGATCAGGCACTGGACAGGGCTCTGCATCAGAGTTGGTCTCATCAGACAAAGAGTCACAAAGGGCTAACATTCCCAATTCAAATACTGATCAACCTGTTGTATATTTCCATCATTTTTATGAGATAACAAGGTGCAGAGCTGGATGAACACAGCAGGCCAAGCAGCATCAGAGGAGCAGGAAAGCTGACGTTTCAGGTCTAGACCCTTCTTCAGAAATGGGGGAGGGGAAGGGGGTTCTGAAATAAGTAGGGAGAGGGGGGGAGGCGGATAGAAGATAGATAGAGGAGAAGATAGTTGGAGAGGAGACAGACAGGTCAAAGAGGCGGGAATGGAGCCAGTAAAGGTGAGTGTAGGTGGGGAGTTAGGGAGGGATAGGTCAGTCCAGGGAGGACGGACAGGTCAAGGGGGCGGGATGAGGCTAGTAGGTACGAGATGTGGGTGGGGCTTGAGGTGGGAGGAGGGGATACGTGGGAGGAAGGACAGGTTAGGGAGGCGGGGACAAGCTGGGCTGGTTTTGGGATGCGGTAGAGGGAGGGGAGATTTTGAAGCTTGTGAAGTCCACATTAATACCATTGGGCTGCAGGGTTCCCAAGCAGAATATGAGTTGCTGTTCCTGCAACGTTCGGGTAGCATCGTTGTGGCACTGCAGGAGGCCCAGGATGGACATGTCATCTGAGGAATGGGAGGGGGAGTTGAAATGGTTCGCAACTGGGAGGTGGAGTTATTTAGTGCGAACCGAGCGTAGGTGTTCCGCAAAGCTATCTTCCTCCCACCTATCTCCTCCTCCCACCTCAAGCCCCACCCCCATCTCCTACCTACTCGCCTCATCCCGCCCCCTTGACCTGTCCATCCTCCCTGGACTGACCTATCTCCTCCCTACCTCCCCACCTACACTCACCTTTACTGGCTCCATCCCCGCCTCTTTGACCTGTCTGTCTCCTCTCCACCTATCCTCTCCTCTATCCATCTTCTATCCGCCTCCCCCTCTCTCCCTATTTATTTCAGAACCCCCTTCCCCTCCCCCATTTCTGAAGAAGGGTCTAGGCCTGAAACATCAGCCTTCCTGCTCCTCTGATGCTGCCCAGCCTGCTGTGTTCATCCAGCTCTGCACCTTGTTATCTCAGATTCTCCAGCATCTGCAGTTCCTACTATCTCCATCATTTTTATGTTTTGTTTCAGATTTCTAGTAGTCATGTTCTCTTTGTTTTTATCTTTATGCCTTGACTTGCACATCCACACTTTAAAAACTCAAACTCTATCGTTACAGCCTGCCCAACATGCAATGACTTCCATGGACTTGTACAGAAGATTATGGAGCTCCAAGATATTTTATCCAAGACATCAGCAAAGGTCATTTCAATGGACAGAATTTTTGACAATGAATTTCTCAAGTAGAAGTGTTTTTTCCTGTCTAGACATTCTAATCTGCTCCATGTTTACTGTTATAAAGTAAGCCACTTTGCACACGACAAGAATCCTCCAAACTGATAAACAGCCAGTTGATTTTTTGTTTGATAATATTGATGGAGAGAAAATAGTGGTGAGGGTGTGGGAGAAATCATTGCTCCTCCAGTAAAGCCATCAAATAGACTGAATCTTAGAATAATGCAATAAACTCTTGCAGGAATTGCAATATTATTTCCACAATAAAATGCAAGGGTGCTTTCAGTTGTTTGTTCAGAGAACATTATGAATTCAGAGCATCACAAAATATGTTCTGGATTTTGTAAGTTGCAGTACAAACATTGTGGCTTCTTCAGAAATACGCTGATAAAGTGACGATCTTAGAGTTTCAATCATTTTCTGTTTAAGGCCTGTTACAAAATATGATTCCCTTATCTTCCTCATCTTGATAAAATGTTGTTCTGAAGTTGTAATTTATTTTGTTTTAATTGGTTTAGATATAAAGTTCTATAAGGCTTGATTTAAGTTTAAGTTTAAAGTGGGAAGTTGTTCTTGACCGGAGTGAACATGTTGGGCTGAAGGGCTGTTTTCTGTGCTGTAGATGTGTGTGACTAATCGGGGAGGCACTGGCGTAGTGGTATTATCGCTGGACTGTTAATCCAGAGACCCAGATAATATTCTGGGGACCCTGGGTTTGAATCCTGCCATGGCAGATGGTGGAATTTGAATTCAATAAATATCTAGAATTAAGAATCTAATGATGACCATTGTCAATTGTCAGGAAAAACCCATCTGGCTCATCGTTAGGGAAGGAAACTGCCATCCTTACCTGGTCTGGCCTACATGTGACTCTAGACCCACAGCAATGTGGTTGACTCTGAACTGCCTCTAGGCAACTAGGGATGGGCAATAAATGCTGGTTAGCCAGCGATGCCCTCATCCTGTGAATAAATAAAAAAAACTAAGATTTGTGTCAGAAATCGGGAATAATCCCTTTCGGAGCATTGGTCCAGTGCAGGCATCAATTATATCAGTTATGTCATGAATAATTGGATTGAGTGTAATTACAAGTTAGGGTTGAGTTTTTCTTTTCACTATAGTCTCGGGATGTGGACATTACTGGTAGGGCCAGCATTTATTGCCCATTCCTCACTGCACTTGGGAAGTTGGCTGTGAACCAGATTCTTGAATGTAGCTGTGTGTTTTGCTTAGCTATTTCAGAGGGCAATTAAGAGTCGACTATGTCGCTGTGGGTCTGGAGTCACACGTAGGCCTGATCAGCCAAGGGTGGCAGGTCTCCTTCCCTAAAGGACATTAGTGAACTAGATGGACTTTTATGACTATCTGATAGCTTCATTGAGTTGATTAGCTTTTTATTCCAGATTTAGTTAATGGATTAAATTTAAATTGCTTGGCTGCCACGCTGGGATTTGAACTAAGTCTCTGGATCAGTAGTCCTTACCTCTGGATCGTTCGTCAAGGTAAATCATCACAAAACTTCATTAACCCCCATCCCCAGCCCTGCCCACTCCCAGACAGTAGAAAATGATTTGAGGAAATTCTAAAGCAATTTTTGTTGTTGCTGATTTGGGGGATTGACTGATATCTTGTGAATGCCGGCTCAGAAAGCCCTTGCCAGGGGAAGCACAGGAGTCAGATTGAAGATCCTGTATCAGCTGTGGCGTAAACATTTGCAACACAATTTTCTACTGTTTTAAATCTAAGCTGTAAAACCCGTTGGAGCTGAGGTGATAAATAGCAAGATTTTTCATTAACAAAGATTTTGTGGGACACACACTTGTATTTACAAAAGAAGGATGTTTTTTACTCAGTATTAACTATTTGATTGGCCTCAAGTGTGTCAATTTTGAGCAGATTTAATTTGATGAGACTTTATCAGAACTGATTTTTTAAAGAATTCATTTATGGTATGTGGGTGTTGCTGGCTGGGCCAGCATTTATAGCCCCATCCCTAACTACCTAGAAGGGAGTTGAGAGTCAGCCAAATTGCTGTGGGTCTGGAGTTACAGGTAGGCCAGACCAGATAAGAAGATTTCCATCCCTAAAGGACATTGGTAAACAAGATAGGTTTTTATGACAATCATTTCATGACCATCATTCAATTCCAGATTTTCGCAACGGCAAGTCCCGAGAGCATTACCTGGGCCTATGACCAATTATTAGCAATAATACCACTAAGTCATGACCACAAGAACCTCCCTCAGAGCAGTCACAGTATGTTCTACTGTTCTAAAACTCAGGTACTTATTTGCAAGATAAAGATTATACTGAATGTATGTAAATTGTGAAATGTTCCCCCAGCTATCTTATGCTGAGGAGAAGATGAACAGTTTGGATCATTGTTACTGTGAGAAGAGCTGTAAGGTGAAAGACAGAGTCTACAGAGAGTCACAGTATTGGGCCGAAGGCTGCAAGAATTGCACATGCAAGGTACCCTTAACACTGACTCTTTTATCAGCATCTGGCTCACTGCAAGCTAACTCTTCCCTTATTTTATCTTTTCCCAGTTTCCATGGTTTCCAAACAAACCGATGTAGCATTATTCTGATTGTTTTTAATTTCATCTCCCAAACCAGAGTGGCACAGGAAATATTAAATATGTCGAATGGCGAGGGGAATATCTTCTGTCTCTCCCCCAACCCATTAATAATTTCCAATGTGCCACAAAAAAAATGGCCACTTACACAGCACCTTTGTGTTTGAAAATGCCCCAGGATGTTTCACAGTGGAAGCATACATAAACAAAATAAGGATTGGACAGTAATTCACAGAGAAATAGGAGAAACCTTCATCAAAAAGATGGAGCTATCAAAGATCAAAGTGGAAAGGTTTGTGGAGGTTTTGATGAGATCAGGGACAGGATGATGGAAGTTCTGCTATCAGTGTGTTGGTGTGTAATTCACAAAACACTTGAGTTGAATGATAGAGGGGTAGGAGAAGGTATATAAAGCTGCAATAGAACAGAACAAGGACATCTAATGAGCGTTGTGCTAAACCAGAGGAGGACTGAATTTTCAGTGGCTCGAGCTGGTGCGTTTGGAAGTGGGGGTCGACAGTTTGAAAACAAGAGCAAGTTCTCACTCGGCTGGCTCCTTGACACAGTCCTAACACCACACCATTTTGAAGCAGGATTGGCAGTAAAAATGATTAGACACTGTGGCAGTGACCAATTAAGCTCCTTAAAAGCTGAGCAGCTTGAACTCCAGCAGGGGTGGCGAGGTGGGATTTAATACAGCAAGTTCTGAGATGTTCATAGATGCTGTGAAGCTTGAACTGAGGTTATGGCTACCACAGGCCTCTCAGTAATTGAGTTTTTCTACTATCGATGACTGTGACCCTGATGGAGAGATCGTTGGAGCCAGACTGCTGCTGCATATAACACCCTGTAAGAAGATAGACACTTTGCTGTCTACATGACACATGCTCAGTCACTGAACTCTAAACATCCCTGCACCCCTCCCCCAAACAGTGATGAGTTAAATCCCTTCTGCTGAAGCTGCTAACTCTATGACCCTTCTCAGGAGTTAAAATTTCACCCCTGCATGGGGTCACAGGAGGTCTGTGACATTAAAATGGGGGATCACTCTTGGGAACCATTAGGGAAACTCTGCTTTAATGGCTTAATGAAGAGCATGGCCCTGATGCTGAGGAGTGTTCCATGTGTACACAGGTTCTCATGAAATGCCAACCCTGAAAGAGCTTCAGTGTCCCTGCAGCAGGGGCTGGGCTAGCTTCAGGGCTAGAGGCTTCAAAATATTTGCAGGCTTCCACTCCAAGAGTGCGCCGAATCCAATGCCTATCACCATGGGGGACCGCCCTCTGATCTTGGAAAGCTGTGACCCAGTTAGTTTTGTGAGTATATTGTGGCACCGTGGCTCAGTGGTTAGCACTGTTGCCTCACAGCGCTAGGGATTCGGGTTTGATTCCACCCTTGGGTGGGTGTCTGTGTGGAGTTTGTGCATTCTCCCCGTGTCTGCGTGGGTTTCCTCCGGCTTCCTCCCACAGTCCAGGGATGTGCAGGGTAGGTGGATTGGCCATGCTATACTTGCTCGTAGTGTTCAGGGATGTTTGGGTTAGACATGGGAAATGCAGGGTTAGGGGAATTGGTCAGGGTGGGATGCTCTTCGGAGGGACGGTGTGGACTTGTTGGACCGAATGGTCTGTTTGCACGCTGTAGGGATTCTATGATTGCTGTGTGCCCAGTGGTCAGGGGTGGCTTGGCCTTTGTGCCACCCTGTGCACTTTGGCAGTATCTACCTCTCTACAAAGTCACAGTCAAAGGATACGGGTAGGCCATTTAGGACTGAGACGAGGAGAAATTTCTGCACTCAGAGAGCAGTGAGCCTGTGGAACTCTCTGCCACAGGAAGCGGGTGAGGCCAAAACATTGAACCTTTTCAAGAAGGAGTTACATACAGTTCTTGGGGCTAACACGATCAAAGGATATGGGAAGAAACTGAGAACAGAGGACTGAGTTGGATGATTAGCCATGATCAAATTAAATGGTGGAACAGGCTCAAAGGGCTGAATGGCCTACTTCTGTTCCTATCTTCCATGTTTCTATGATTTACCCACAGGAGCAATAAGGAGAAATAAATTTTTGAAGTTTGGAATCAGTGTGAATTGTCATATTACGTGTCTCTGAGAGAGGGTTCCCATTAATCAGCCTTTTGTGGATTGAATTTGAGTTCTGGATAGGACATCACCTGCTCTGAGTTTATTGTAGTCAAATGTTAACCTGACTGCATCAGATCAGTAACTATCAAATAGAACTCTCTGCACTTAAAATGAAGTTGCCAGCTATTGATACTTTAGATCTCTGGTGCTGAATTTTCGTATGTCAGTCCTAAATAGTGTACCCGGTATCCTTAGACAGTGACCCTTTGTTCTGGATTCCCCAGTCATAAAAGAACAAAGAACAAAGAAAATTACAGCACAGGAACAGGCCCTTCGGCCCTCCAAGCCTGTGCCAATCCAGATCCTCTATCTAAACCTGTCACCTATTTTCCAAGGATCTGTATCCCTCTGCTCCCTGCCCATTCATGTATCTGTCTAGATATATCTTAAATGACGCTATCGTGCTCGCCTCTACCACCTCCGCTGGCAATGCGTTCCAGGCACCCACCACCCTCTGCGTAAAGAACTTTCCACACATATCTCCCTTAAACTTTTCCCCTCTCACCTTGAAATCGTGACCCCTAGTAATTGAGTCCCCCACTCTGGGGAAAAGTTTCTTGCTATCCACCCTGTCTATACCTCTCCTGATTTTGTAGACCTCAACCAGGTCCCCCCCCCCCAACCTCTGTCTTTCTAATGTAAATAATCCTAATCTACTCAACCTCTCTTCATAGCTAGCGCCCGCCATACCAGGCAACATCCTGGTGAACCTCCTCTGCACCCTCTCCAAAGCATCCACATTCTTTTGGTAATGTGGCGACCAGAACCATACGCAGTATTCCAAATGTGGTCAAACCAAAGTCCTATACAACTGTAACATGACCTGCCAACTCTTGTACTCAATGCCCCGTCCAATGAATGAAAGCATGCCGTATGCCTTCTTGACCAATCTATCGACCTGCGTTGCCACCTTCATGGTACAATGGACCTGAACACCCAGATCCCTCTGTGTGTCATTGGGAACATCCTTCCTGCTTTTATCCTGTCTAATCCTCGTAGAATTTGACAGGTTTCTCTTAAAAAAAATCATTTGATTCCCAGCATTCTGATGTCTTGTTTAACCAATGTACATGTAAGCATTAGTGGAAAAGGATGAAGACTTAAATTTGGCTAAGACCAGGGAACATATGTATGTTGGCAAGGGTAACAATGGGTGAGTGGGATGGAATGGTTGGGGCATTGGAAATGTTTACAGTATACATAGTGTAAAAGGCAAAGAGCGAGCAAGGGTGATGGAGAAATTAAGCCCAGATGAGATAACTTTATAGAATGGGCTTCAACAACACTGGGTGTGAGGAACATTCTTACATTGGAAACTGATGCAATAAAGACATAAAACCATGGCCCAGGAGCTTTTTTTAAAGGATGAAGGCTACTAGTATGATTCAGCGATATGGTTTATCCATTTTGGGAACTGATCAGAATATGGCGAATTTGCTTAGAAACAAAAATAGCTAAAGGTCAGCCCAGGAATCATTCTAATAACTTTTTTTCCATAACTGCACCTGATTACATTGGCCAGTTTTGTAGATGAAGCCAACTGCGAGTGAAATTTATTTTAAAATTCACAGAAACTCAATGCGTGCTAAATATAATTCTCATTTAAAATCCCGTGAGATATGGCTGATTTCATAGCATGGAATCTAAAAATGGTACTGCTCAGAAGGAGACCATTCAGTTGTCAGGTCCATGCTGGCTTTCTGCGGAGGATAATCTAGACAATGCCATTTCTCTGTCCTTATCTGAAACACTTGCAATTCTTTTTCAGTTGAATTTTGTAAATAAAACAAAGAAAATCAATAGCGTCTTTAGAACCCTGTGAGTAGGTTAATTAAACACTGCCTGCAATGAACGGAGAAAATGTATCTGACTCTTAAGTTTGAGTAGATATTGGAATTATGGCTATTTTCTAAGCAACCTGTTCAAAAGCATTATCAAAAACTTCTAGAGCGTGAGACTTTAACCTAAGTCACCTGGTACAGAGGTAGGGACACTACCAATGCATCACAAAAACCTCTAATATTGGCGTTATACGCCAACTGACCAGCAAGCCAGTCATCAAGTAAAGGTTGGGCCAAAATTGTTACTTATTTTGTGGTAATTTTATTATCACTTTAATCCCTATTTGATCACAAAACAATCCATCATCTCGGAGTTTTAGTGAAAATTTCCAACATAACCCTCGTGTAATTTTAATGGACCCCAATTTGCACTTGAAATGCGGTGCTCTGAATCTCACCAAAGTTACGGTGATGGAATGAATCAAGTGCGAGGAAATACCCACCAAAGATTTCAAACGTATCCTTTACTTCCTGACTATGAAATATAAAACGTATACTAAAATAGACAGTGTTATTTTGAGATATAAAATGATCCCTCTCCCTCTCTTATCTATATAAAGTGAGAAAGAAATCTTATTTGGAAGAAATGCAAAATAGTTGGTTTTTTGTCAGTAATCTTTTACAGCCAGACATAAACGATTTTGCAATATTATTGATTCAAGAACTCAACACACAAGTGATACATTGAGAGCTTGGTGTGTATGAATTGGCCATGGTTTATTAATGCATTGACGTTGACATATAATGAAGAGAGTCTCTAAATAACATGACATTGTTTTCCCCAGAATGGAACAGTCCAGTGCAAGACAATGATCTGCCCCCCTGAGATTTGTCCTCCAGGTAATGCTCCAGTCTATGTGGAAGGAAAATGTTGCAAGGAATGCCAACGTAAGTACCTTATGATTTTATTGATACTTTAAATGATATTACAGTTTGCTATAATCTAGTGAAGGTATGAAACTCAAGATGTTGGAGTAATTTATGTTTTTCATCATTACAAATCCTTACTTTGGTTTCTAATTTTTGACCCAGTATGTTATCACAAATCCTGCCTCGAGACAGCTGACAACGCTGCTTTGTAAACAGCAGCTATGTGTGGTACACAGCAGCTGGAGGCTTATTTTTCTTGTTGCTCACCAGAGAATTGCGTAGTTTTCCACTCCCTGCCATTCCTTAAGTTGAGCTATTTGTGAGCCAAGGATGTTATTGTACCAATGACCATTCAGTGGTTCAGGGAAGAGGTGTAAAAGTGCAACGTGGTTTCCTAACACAGTACTGCAAACTTTATTGTTTCTAAAAACTGTAAATGTGTACATTGTCAATGATAGACTCTGGCCAAAATCTGCTGGCAAAGTCTATGTGATCTTGAGAGATCAGGCAAACCCCATCTACTTTCTATGTTTCATCCATAGCTCCAGTCTGTTTTTCTTATTTCTTGAGTTACATGAGGGACACTAATATGCACTCTCCTGCATTCTGCACTTCGTTTCTGAGCCCAAAGTCACTCTCTGGGAGTAGTAGTGATTTTTGCCCTTTGTCTGTCTGCATAGGGATCATTCAGCTATTTCAACCCTCCTTGTTCCCTACAGTCTACTCTTGTGAGACCATTGCAAATATTGGAGGAATCAGGAGAATAGTGGAAGGCACTTTACAGAAGTATTGTTGGAGGTTTTTCTGTAGGAAGGAAGTTGCAGTACCTATTCAAAATCAGGTGTTGCTAGCAAAAAAAGATTAGTGGTGATTTTGGAAGTGACCATAAGAGGTGGATAAAAATATTTCAACCCAGGGCAGTGCAAATCTGGTCAGGAAATAGGCTGCACCTGAAACAGAGAAACTAGTAGAAATGATAGGCAAGGAGCTGATCAAAAGTCATTTTAAAGCTAAGTAATTCACCAGCAGGTTAGAGGCACAGCAATTGAGACCTGTGGCATAGACCACTGCAAAGGCATTGTCTTGATGTCCCAAGAAATTTGGAGGTCAGATTTCACCAGTGACGGTAAAGAACAGACATTGAACAGCGTACTTGTTAATTGAATACATTTTGCATTCATACAGAACCTTTCACGGCTCTCGATGTCCCAAAGTGCTTAACGGAGGACAAAGTAAGTTTGGTCACTGGTGTAATGTAGGAAATGCAGCAACAAATTTGCACACAGCAATATCCCAAAACAAAACCAGCTCTGAGATAAATCACTGAGATAGCGAGAACTGTAGATATTGGAGTCAGAGATAATAGTGTGGAGCTGGAGAAATACAGCAGGCCAGCAGCATCAGAGGAGCAGGAAAGCTGACATTTCGGATAGCGACCCTTCTTCAGAATTCTTTATCCCCAGCTCTGAGATAATCTGTTTGAGCGATATTAGCTGGGAGGTCAAAGCCAGCCAAGACTTTTCTACACAGCTCTTTGCAGTCATTCCGTGGGACCTTTCACTGCCACTTGGAAAGTGAGGTGTGGGTTTCCACATTGTTAATCTGGTGTCTTGGTGACTCTGTAATGTGTTTTAGGAACTGCCAGATTAAGGTTTCAATTCTGCACTCCACTGCAGGACTTTTTCTTCACACAAAAGTAAAACTTTTCATCTGGCAGTGATCCCATCATGCTGACATTACAGAATATCCAGAACTGATTCCCTGAATCTTCACTATGTCCCATGATTAGACAGGAACTAGGGAGTGTTAATTGGGAGGAGCTGTTATCGGGCAAGTCCACATTTGACATGTGGAATTGTTTAAAGACCTGCAGGGGAGAGTTCAAGACCGGCATGTTCCAGTAAGGAGGAAGGATAAGGATGGCAAGGTAATGGATCCTTGGATAACAAGGGAGTTGCAAATTTAGTCAAAAGGAGAAAAGAAGCATAAGTAAGGTTTAGGAAGCTACAATCGGACACGACCCATGAGGAATATAAGAAAGGGAGGAAAGTACTCCAGCAGGGAACTAGGAGAGCAAGAAGGGGCCATAACATGATCTTGTCAAGTAGAGTTAAACAGAATCCAAGGCATTCTATACAAGCATTAAAAACAAGAGGATAACTAGGGAGAAGGTAGAACCACTCAAAGATAAAGGAGGGAACTTGTGCTTGAAAGTAGAGAATGTGGGTCAGACCCTAAATGAGTACTTTGCATCGATATTCACCCAGGGGAAGGATATGGAGGATAGTGAGATTTGTGTGGAGCATGCTAATATGCTAGGGCATTTTGAGATCAAGAAAGAAGTGGTATTGGATCTGTTGAAGGGCATTAAGGGAGATAAGTCCCCAGTGCCCAACGGTTTCTACCCCAGGTTACTGAGAGAGGCAAGAGAGGAGATTGTTGGGGCCTTGACCAAGATCTTTGTATCCACATTAACCACTGGAGAGGTCCTGGAGGACTGGCGAGTAGCTAATGTTGTTCTTTAATAGGGATAATCTAGGAAACTATGGACCAGTGAGTCTCTCATCAGTGGTTGGGAAGCTGTTGAAAAGAATTCTTAGGGATAGGATTTAATGCATATTTGGTAAAGCATGGCCTAATTAGGGACAGTCAGCATGGCTTTGTGCAGGGTAGGTCATGCCTTGCTAACTTGATTGAATTTTTTGAGGAGGTGATGAAGGTGATCAATGTGGGTAGAGCAGTGGATGTTGTTTACCTGGATTTTGGTAAGGCTTTCGACAAGGCCCCTCATGGTAGGCTCATCCAGAAGATTAAGATGCATGGGATCCATGGTGACTTGGCCGCATGGATTCAGAAATGGGTTGCCCATAGAAAACAGAGGGTAGTGGTGGAGGGAGGTTTTTCAGGCTGGCAGTCCGTGACAGAGATCTGTACTGGGACCTCTGCTGTATGTGATATATATAAATGACTTGGATGAAAATGTAGATGGGTGGGTTAGTAAGTTTGCAGATGATACAAAGATCAGTGGAGTTATAGACAGTGTAGAAGGTTGTCAAAGGATACAGCAGGATATCAATCAGTTGCAAATATGGGCGGAGAAATGACCAATGGAGTTTAATCTGGGTAAGTGTGAGGAGCTGCACTTTGAGAGATGAAATGTTAAAGAAAGGTATGCAGCTAATGGCCGGACTCTGAGCAGCATTGATGTCCAGAAGGATCTTGGGGTTCAAGTCCATAGCTCCCTGAGAGTAGCCATGCAAGTAGATAGGGTGGTAAAGAAGGCATTTGGGATGCTTGGAGATAGCAAGAACTGTAGATGCTGGAGTCAGAGATAACACAGTGTGGAGCTGGAGGAACACAGCAGGCCAAGCAGCATCAGAGGAGCAGGAAACACTCAGAGGAGCCTTGCTTGCCTTTATTGGTCAAGGAATTGAATAAAAGAGTCAGGATGTCATGTTGCAGCCTTATAAGACTTTGGTTGGGCCACAGTTAGAGTATTGTGTTCAATTCTGGTCATCACATTACAGAAAGGATGTGGAGGCTATGGAGAGGATGCAGAAGAGGTTTACCAGGATGCTGCCTGGAGTAGAGTTTATGAACTATAAGGAGAGGCGAGAAAAACTCGGGTTGTTTTCTCTTGAGTGGTGCAGTCTGAGGGGGGACTTGATAGAAGTTTATAAAATTATGAGATGCATAAACAGGCTTGATGGTCAGAATCTTCTTCCCAAAATTGAAATGTCCAATACTAGAGGCCATGCATTTAAGGTTAGAGGGGGAAAGTTCAATGGAGATGTGAGGGGCAAGTTTTTTACACAGAGAGTGGTAGGAGTCTAGAATGCACTGCCAGGGATTGTGGTGGAGGTAGATACAATAGGGCCATTTAAGGGACTTTTAGATAAGCACATGAATATGCAAGGAATGGAGGGATATGGACCAATGGCTGGCAGAAGGGATTAGTTTCATTTGGCGTCTTGTGGGCTGAAGGGCCCATCCCTGTGTTGTACATTTCTATGATAAATAGCATGCAATAGTGGGGAAAAAGATTAAATTAATAAAACTTCAGTAAATATTGCAGGCTTTGCTCTACAAGCCAAATTGTTGGCAGCAGTCCTTAGATACGGATTTTAATCAAAGTTATTGGAAGTTATCTATCACACTTGCAGCTGTAACACTCAATTCACTCTCATATGGACATTCTGCGGACTCTGTGACTTGACACCCAGTATCACCTAATATTGTTGAAATATTAAAGCCAAGTAATGTATCAATGCAATCTGCAGACCGTATCTCCGCCAAAATAGATTGGGGTCCTTTAGCAATCAACCTTTATGTTCCGTCTGCTTCCTGTTTGACATTGCATTATATTATAATTTGCAGGTACTTGTGAAAATGACACAAATCATTTTTACAACTTGTAACATGAGTGCAATCATGGGTGAAAAACACCTACTATCTCTGATTCCATAGTAACCTTATCTTTTATTGAAGCTGTTTAACTGTCTTCCATGCTGCATGGAGACATTTGTTTTGTTTCTGGTGACTTTTGTTTTGTTAATAGTTCCCTATGTCACAGTAATAGGGCACTGACTATTAAAGAAATTGCTTTCAAACATATGGTTTTAGATTCCGAAAGAACTGCGGATGCTGTAATAAAAACCAAAAGAACTGCGGGTGCTGTAAATCAGGAACAAAAACAAAGTTGCTGGAAAAGCTCAGCAGGTTCTGAGGAAGGGTCACCGGACCCGAAATGTTAACTCTGTTTTCTCCTCCACAGATGCTGCCATACCTGCTGAGCTTTTCCAGCGTTTTGTTTTTGTTGCGGATGCTGTAAATCAGGAATGAGAACAGAAGTTGCTGGAAAAGCTCAGCCGGTCTGGCAGCATCTGTGGAGGAGAAAACAGAGTTATGTTTTGAGTCAGGTGACCCTTCCTCAGAACTGATGGTAGCTGGGAAAACATCGGTTTATATGAAGAAAATAGGGAGGGAGATGGGGTAGGGAGTAAACAATAGGATAGAGC